AATTGTTAGATATTACTTGTTAGATATTACTGCACGGTCGGAGCTAGAAGCACAAGCATTTCGCTACACCTGCGATAACATCTGCTAAACACGTGTATGTGACAAATACATTTTGATTTGATTTGATTGGATGCCCACATGCCGAAATGCATCTGTCTTAACAATGTTTACCTACTGACGTTGTTAACTACTGTTGCGAACAGCACCCACATGTACATAATATAATGTATCTTCCTCTCTCTCTTCCAGCTATGTACAAATCTCCAACCATGAGTTCCAGTCCTGAGAACAGCATCAAACAGAACACGAATGTGACCATTTCCTTCAACTCTACAGGCGGGCACCAGAAAGGGTTGATCTGGTGGTTTGACGAGTTTAGCAAAAACTGCACAGAGAGTGCTGAACTGGTGGCCAAAGAGACCGACGACTAACTGTTTAGCCTCTCCAGTAAACTAACAGTTCTGAAGGCTACATACAGTGGTTCCACAAACTACTCATGCACAGTGCACAACACCAATGGAGTCCAGGAAGGGAAGGCATCATTTGAGATCCCGTTTGTACGTTCAGCAGGTACGTTCTGCCATCGTGGTTGGTATACACAGTTTGAATGAATGATGTTTTTGATGTCATCCTTAGTGAAAGCAGGGCCAAGTCCAAAACCTGCCAGTCTCCCTTATTACCTCATCCAGACCCTGATAATAATAATAATATGCCATTTAGCAGACACTTTTATCCAAAGCGACTTACAGTTATGCGCGCATACATTTTTGTGTATGGGTGGTCCTGGGGATCGAACCCACTACCCTGGCGTTACAAGCGCCGTGCTCTACCAACTGAGCTGCAGAGGACCACTGATAATTGTAAACAATTCAGCCTCAATCTAGTCTACTTTTATTAGCATAGGCCTTTTTACGACGTCTTTATCACGTGTGAGCACAATGAAAGTCAGCCTTATAATGAGAGAACAACATCACAAGAGTGGAGTAGATCAAAGAATCCTAACACTGCCCTAGATCTGGCCAATCTGACAGAGCATCTTCCTTGAAACTTGAAAAAAAGAAAATGAATGTCTTGGTTTGGGTAAGAAACAATCCATGCATGTTTCAACATGAATCCAGAAGATCTTCAATGTTTGCTTAACCTAGTCTGCTTGTCATCTGATGAGACTATAGGAAATTACAAGGTTAATAATGAAATAATGATAGTGGAGTTGTAACTACCTGTGCTAGTTGACAAATGATAGGAACATTTGTATGTTTAGGGTAATGACAAAAATTTTTCCACCCCGAAACTGTGTATAACTGTGTTAGAGTTATAAAGACAATGAAACCACTAACTGGTAATATGGGTAGAAACTGTTGGAGGCCAACATACCATAGTAAGAGGGGACTTAGAAACTGCTGAAAACTATACTGTGGATAGTCACAGGATGCCTAAAGGTGGGCGGAGCAAAGTTCCTTTGTGTGAAGGCATATACAGTGGGGAAAAAAAGTATTTAGTCAGCCACCAATTGTGCAAGTTCTCCCACTTAAAAAGATGAGAGAGGCCTGTAATTTTCATCATAGGTACACGTCAACTATGACAGACAAAATGAGAATGTTTTTCTCCAGAAAATCACATTGTAGGATTTTTAATGAATTTATTTGCAAATTATGGTGGAAAATAAGTATTTGGTCAATAACAAAAGTTTCTCAATACTTTGTTATATACCCTTTGTTGGCAATGACACAGGTCAAACGTTTTCTGTAAGTCTTCACAAGGTTTTCACACACTGTTGCTGGTATTTTGGCCCATTCCTCCATGCAGATCTCCTCTAGAGCAGTGATGTTTTGGGGCTGTCGCTGGGCAACACAGACTTTCAACTCCCTCCAAAGATTTTCTATGGGGTTGAGATCTGGAGACTGGCTAGGCCACTCCAGGACCTTGAAATGCTTCTTACGAAGCCACTCCTTCGTTGCCCGGGCGGTGGTTTTGGGATCATTGTCATGCTGAAAGACCCAGCCACATTTCATCTTCATTGCCCTTGCTGATGGAAGGAGGTTTTCACTCAAAATCTCACGATACATGGCCCCATTCATTCTTTCCTTTACACGGATCAGTCGTCCTGGTCCCTTTGCAGAAAAACAG